GATTCTGGATTACAAATCAGCATGCCCAACTGCTCTGTTATCTTATTCCTATTTTTCTGTTGAGTTTTTTATTTGGTGAGACACTGCATCATGCTTTTTTATTTCTTTCAGCATGTTTTCTTTTGGCATTTTGAACAGATGTGATGTGTATACATCTTCATAATTTTATAGTGACATTTGCTTTTTCTTTTGGATTTTATTTTGAGCAGGATGTTTTTAAATTACCATGTGAAATCACTTGTTTTTATCCCAGGGAGCTTTATTTTTTTCTTCTAAGATGTACTGATATCCTTGCTAAATGTAACATCTAGGTTATTCCCATGGGCAGTTTCTCTTGCCTGTTGTTTCTTACTATTTGTATATCTTGTTTTCCTATTTCTTTACTGAGCTCAAGTTCTTTACTAACTGAACTTTAAAATAATATATTGTAATACCTCTGCATTAAAAACATCCTTAACCCAGTGTTTATATATATATATATATATATATATATGTGATGTCTTTGTGTGTACATTGTGTGTGTGTTTCTATGTGTGTCTATATGTCTTTGTCTGTGTCTGTTTTATGTGTGTGTATATGTATGCCTTTGTGTGTGTGCCTTGGGCATCTGTGTGTTTGCTTACTTTAGTAACTTCACTGAGCTACTTGCGGAAAACCTCAAAAATTGAATTTCTAACACTGCTCATATCTGTGTTCACAACTGCATTGGAATGACAGTAGTTACAAAAGGCTTCCCCTATTGTCATCTTTACTAGTCACTCTGCTGAGTTACCAGCTGCAATAAGCATCAATATTAGCTGCCAGTTTGCATACTTACTGGAAATTTATTTTATTGACTGATAATACCCACAAGACATAAGCTGCCCCATCACCTGACTCAATAAAAAAATCATGGTTTTGTCAAGGGTATATTTTTTAAGCCAGTCTTTGAGGTTTGAACTGATCCCAAAAGGGCCTATTTTAGCTGTGTACTTCCCTGGTTTTCTCTGGAAAATTGACTGATGCTTACAATTTGATTCATAATTTTTGGAGCCACTGGTATCTTCTACACTGTTTACCACTGAAGCTACGGTTTTTTCAGGAGTATATCATCATCCAGAATTCTCCTGCTCTCTGTTCCAAATAAATTCAAGTATTTAAAGAATGGAAATTTTATGTTTTTATGGTCAAATTCCCATCCTCATTAAGTCAATAAGCCATTGTTTTAGAGCCAGCTACAGAACAGTTCCTGTGTCTATAGGTTTAATGAACAGGACTTTAGGTGACACAGTAGCTTCTGGAGGTCTTGTTTTTTTTCTTCTATCATGGAAATCATATCTATCTAGTGAGGTAGGGTGAGAACAACTTGGGTTGCTGTATTCCCTACCAGTCTTTTGCACTTTCCACCCTAAGAATGTATAGTCAATAGAAAAGACAACGTTTTGTCTCTTAGGCACTTTTGCATAGAATTTGGCGTCTCTAAAGCAGCACTGGAGTCTAAGAATGCTGACAGATGGGCATCTCCTCATCCCAGCTCTGAACTAGAGTAGAAAAGTGGAAATCCCTTCTTTATTTTCACACTTGCTCAGAGGGAAACTCTCATGCTGAGTGGGAACGAAGAACCTCCAAGTTCCAGCTTCCATGTCCTCTCAGGGTCTAGGCTAGGAGCATACAGAAAGCTGGTAAAGGCTTGGCTAAAAAGGTCTGAGGGTGAAGGGAGACAAATTGGCTCGTACACACATTCTTCTCATGACTTTTTATTCTTCAAAAATGGGGAGGTAACCCCATCCCACAAGGCTTCCAGTTTATTTATCCAATACAGATACAATTAGCAATTCTCTGACAATAGCAAAGATACTGGGCATGCTTAACTCTCAGACTCAGGAAGGCAGATAAAATCTTCAGAAAAAGGGGTGCCTCAGGTCTCTGGGGAATGTGACTTGTGAAGCATCTGGGTGAAACTTGAGAGGTGAAGGAAGGGTTAAATGGCATTGCTAAGAAGCAATAAAGGAGTGTTAGAACATAAAACTACATTTATGTGGTTAGTTAAACTAGAAAACTATAAGTGTTATATGTAAAACAAGAAAGAAACACTAGAAGTTCATAATTAACAAATGTAAAAAAAAAGAAGAAAAAACTGTATGTGTTGGGTTTTGCTTTTGCTTTGCATAGCTTGAAACAATGCATCAAGGTAGCCATGGTGGCTTGCATAAGTTGTGGAAGGAAAATGTTTTAATCCATATTGGCTTTTTTGCCAAATTCTGGTGAGTTTTCCCAGCACAAGATCAAAGAGAGAGGCTACTGTGAGCCTAGCCAAGCTACAGGCTAAGCCGGTGAGGCTTAGGTACCACTGACACCATGGTAATAAGGGATTCCTTTCTCTGATACTGGATAAACAATCTGATGCTTTCCCCTGCATTTTAGGAGTAAAGGCACAAACAGTTTCCTAGATTAAGATCTTGTATCAGTAGAATTAAGGTGGAGATGAGTATTGATAGCTTGTTATACAGCAGGGGTCAGTAGGCTACACTCTCCTGAATTGGCTTTTAGAAGAATCAGTGCCACCCATTCCTGTTTGTCAGTGGGGACAGACGTGCTGTGTCTCCCACTCAGTACCTGTCTTTTGAAGCTCTGTGTGTGGTCTATTTGCAAGGCTCTTCTCCTTGTCAGAAAGTCCTGCCATGAAAGCAGCCTTATACACAATGGACTTTTGCAACTTCAGTATCTCAGTCCTTTATCTTACCCCCTTGAACCTCTAGTCTTTGGTTTTCTCATACTTGCCAGCTACTTATAAGACTCTCTTTATCCTACTTTTTCCCATACAGGTATCAGGCAAGGCAAACTTTGTTTGTTCATCTTCCCCAAATATTTCTCTAAATCAGCATCTTCCATTCTTACACTCTCATCTATCATCTTTCTCCAGGAGATAACACAAGAGCTATTGCAACACCTAATGGGTGTTTATGCTATGACAAGTCATTTGCAGATATTATATAATTTAAGCTCCAAAACAAACATTCTTAGCATCAGTTTTTTATGTGAGACACTTGAAAACCAGAAAATTCAAGATTTTTACAAGGTGACACGATTAGTAAATAAAAGGACCCAGATATGAACCCAGACAGTCTGACTTATATTGCTGTCTTCTCTATCATTATTTTCTATTTCCCATCAATGTTAGCCTATAGTTCAACTTTCTTCAGGAAGTCACTTCTGATCACTCAGTAAAATATGATCCCCTTGGAGTCATCTTTGTGACATTTATATTTTTCTCTATGATTTTTATCATCCACACCATTACACTATTGTGTTATTGCTCTTCAAAAGAAATATTGAATTTGCTAATTTCATATCTCCTTTTTTGCTAGCCTAGTATGTAAGAGTGAACCCCACAAAGCTATCCGCCCATCAGGGCGGGGTCAAGGTAGAGATAAAAGGAAGTGAAAGGAAAAGGGGCTTCCCTTTTCTCCTGGAAGCCAGCCATGCTTCTAACTCCTGGTCTGTGTGACTCTCTCCCTCTCTCTCTGGTAAATAAATATATTGTTTTCCCTATATAGCATCGAATATCGTTATACTAGTACATGCAAAATAGCTATCAATAGTGTTGCTAACATCAATGAAAAACAAATCATCTATCGAGGTGGATCCTCCTAGGATGTTGAAATGTCCTCTACATTCCAAATCTGATCAGAGTAGAGGCAGAAAACAAACTCTGGGGCATCGCCATAGATGAAGGGCATTATGAGGACCATGGCTCAGAATACAGCAATAGCATATTCAGGGAAAAACTTATTAAGCAAGATATTATTCCTAGTCTACTTGAATAGAGAAAAGATCTCATATTTGCAAACAATTATTCAGACATAGATTTGAAAATCTTTCCTGAGCTGGAGAGACAGCTCAACAGTAAAAGCATTTAATACTCTTGCAGAAGACCTTGTTTCAATTCCCAGAACCCATGTGGCAGCATACAAGCATCTGTTACTCCAGCTCCTGAAGGGCCAATGACCTCTTCCAGTTTCTGCAGTCACAAGGGATGCATGGGGTATGCAAGCAAAACACTCATATACATAAAATAGCTAATCAAATCTTTAAAAATAAAGCCATCTTGAAAGAAAAGAGAAAGTTACATCCTAAGAGGTTTGATAGACTTCAGTTTAATAAAGAAATATTCTATCTGTTAAGAAAGTATTTGTATATTTCTAATGAAATAATATAACAATGAAGCTATCGGTATCAAACTATTTTATCATTAATCCACTGAGCAAAATATCAATAAAGTTAATATGAGTAAGTCAATGCTGCAAGAATAGTTTGATGCTAAAAGTCTCTCCACTGAGATAATAATTTCTAAAACAAGAAGGTCTTTGCTTGTTTGTTTGTCTCATTTTAACTTAATCTTACCTATAAACCACACCAAGCACAATGATAAAATGATAACATTTTTCTTTTCCAGCTGAAATAGCAGAAGATGACTTCCCTAGAAAGACTCTGCTGACTCTTTCTTGAATTTGTTTGCTTGGGTTTTTGTTGTTGTTGTTGTTGTTTGTTTTTTTATTTTTTTACTTTTTATAGAAGCATACAAATGAATAGCAGTGTTCAGGGTTAGTGTTTCACAGGAGAGAGTGAGCATGATTGCTACCTCACAAGAGCACAAAGCGCTGGTTATTCATATCCTATACTTAGCTGACTTGGGTAAGGCAGTGAGCCCAAATTCATAATTAAGAAGTAAATCATGGAGTTGCATTTTGGAATCTTAAAATAATCCCATTCCTCATTAACTTTTCACCAACTGGTTTGTCTGTTGAGATTTTCTTATATCAATTATTTCATTGTAGGTTATAAAGCAAATTTATGCTTCTGTTTATCCTCCTCAACGATAAAATTCCAGTATTTTTCAAGTAGCTTTAATACTTTTAAATGTGTTCTCTAAATTTTAAAGATCAAAGGTTGACAAATATAAGTATTATAATGTTTTTAATGAAAACTTGCTAATCTTTGATTTTCTTTTGTGTTTTCAGCAAAATAGGAAGCCACCTTTTTGTGATAAGCCCATCTTTGAGTCCTACCCAGAACCACCATTGTATGTCTTGGTTTTGACTTACATGGGATATGGAATTGGAACCTTATTTGGCTACCTTAGAGACTTTATGAGAAGCTGGGGAATGGAAAAATGCAATGCAGCTGTAGAGCGAGAAGAACAAAAAGTACGTATGTTTGCCTCCCTCGATCTGCATCAGTGTCACACTTCTCACAAAACCCACAAAGAATAACATGTCCAAGAACCACTGAGCATAAACTCCATCTTTCCCCACTCACTAAACCCTGTCTCCTGTGTATTTGTGGCCTTGGGTTTTTTTCATGTTTATTAGAATGCTATTAATTGCCAGCAACAGAATTTAAGTCTTCTTGTTCATTATAATATTTAACTTATACAATGTTTCATAACATAGATAATAAAAGATCATTTTAATGATGAACAAATCAATGTGAAAGACAGCACTGAAAGCAAGGGTACCTCGGAGGTAGTCTTCTCTGGTCTTCTAGATTCAACATTGTTGTGGACTATTCCAAAATAAGAACATGTATCGGAATGCAATGCAACGTTTCTATTTCATCGAGGTTAGAATTTCTTAAAATTTGCTTTACTGATATATCTTACTAGTTGACTCAACTGTTTGGAAAGCAGTCCTGTGGATTGAAGGAACTTACATAGCATCCCTGGCCTCCATATACTAGATTTGCCATTAGCACTGACTGACACACATAGCAATGATCAAGTGACTCCATTTAGAACCCTTTACCTAGATATTTTTTGAAAATATCTATATTGCCTTGTTTCTGTACTGAGCCAGAGAACAAGCAGAAAGATATTCAGGGGGCTATCATGTATGTATATATAATTACTTATTTGAGACGTTCATATACATTTTGATTATATTTGTTCACTCTATCAACTCCTTCCATTTTCACCCCTTTCCCTGAACACCAAACTTCATGCCCTTTTTTTCCTTTAACCAATCAATTACAATTTGTGATGCCCAAATATTCTGAGATATGTGGCCTTTTACTGGAGTATGGCCAGCTTACCAGAGGTTATACTCTTAAACAAAACTATTTTCCTTCTCCCAGAAGCTATCCATTACCAGTAGTTCCTCAGCTGCCAGTGGGACTTCATGCCCACATACCCTCTCTATGTGGAATTTGGTCCATCTTAACCATACAGATCTTGTGCAAGCTGTGATATCACATATGACATCATATGTGTATCTGTCCTGCTGTATGAAGAAGACACTATTTTCTTGTAATCATCCACTCTGGTTGTGTTGTTTCTGGTTTTTTTCTTTTCTTTTCTTTCTTCTTTTTCTTGTTTTGTTTTTTGGTCCCTTCTTCCCCCAATGATCCTCCAAGTCACGATAGGAAAGAGTGCTGTGTAGGTGATCCAATTAGGGTTGTGTATTGTGCAGCCTCCTTTCCTCTGCACCTTGGCTAGTTGAAAGTCTCGGTGTTAACCACCATTTACTACAAAGAGAAGCTTCTCTGTTTAAAGCTGAAAGATGCATTATTCCGTGGGTACAATCTAAGAATAGGGGAATATCAGGACAGACATAGTCCCTACCTTTAAAGAACTAACTGTAAAAAAGATGCTGACAGGAAACACCAGAGACCTAAGTAGAAAGAACTAGGACAGCTTTGAAAAAATGTCTAACCTGAACGTGGTGTGGAGAAAAGGCTCCTGAGATGAACAAAATTAAATTAACCTATGGATATGGAAGAGCAAGTGGTAACCCAAAGCGTGAATATTCTTTAAGGATAGGACAGTGGTACAAGATGGCCCAGGAGAAGGAGGGAGTGTTGTCATAGTCAAAGAATCAAAGAATTCTGATGCTTGATTATGAGGACAAGGACTGTGTGAAAGGCAAGTGGGATCAGACTTTAATTGTTTTATAATCCGTGAATGTTTGTTATGAGAAAGTACTGACAGATTTCTGGCAGAAGACTGTAGATTTGTAGATTTAGAAAGATTATTCTGTCTACACCATGAAAATGGATTGCAGAAAGATGACACTGATACAAAAAAATCTAGATGAAACAGTAGAACTGGGACAAAGGTAGTGACAACAGGGCAGTAATAAGAAATAAAGCCAAAAAATGTTTAAGAAGTGGCGTTGCAAATAGTCACTATGATTTGGAGAAACAGAGAGATAAAGACCACACCTAGGGTTTCGGTATGGGTGGATATGCATATATTATCATTCATTGAGATGGAAAATAGTGCACAGAAGTGCACAGTGATTGATACTTCTTTGACAAGTCTAGTTTGTCAAGAATTGGCAGCTGAATTTGTAAAGAAGGAGCTCAGAAGAAAACTCTCAAGGTGTATCTTGTGGCATCTCCAAGGCTAGTCTTCAGCCTAGCAATGTATAAAAATGCAAAGAAGTATACAGAATTTCCAGGGCAGTTCCAGAATAGTAAACAGAGAAAAGAAAGATGAAATGAGCTTCAGAGAATTGAATAGATGTCAGAGATGGAATTCCAATTGAAGACCAGAAGTGGAGTGACACTAAAGAAGGCTAATAGTTGCTTGGAAATCACTTCTTTGTGAACTGTGGAAGAGGTTGATAAAATGAAAACAGAACTGCTTATGAATAGATGCAGACAGAGATTAAGTCTTGGCAGCTGAGTGCATCTAGAAAAAAATAGAGGGAACACTGAATAACCTCAAATTTCTCACTTGGGCAGAGACTCTGCCGGCAATGTTGCAGTCATCACAGTGAAGTAGTCCTGTATTGACAATGATAGTGGTGATTCAGACCCAGCAAAAGCCTAAGACTGTCTGGGAGCTCTGTGGATGGAAGGCCCTTTAGAATCATTCTGACCTGAAGGAAGGGAACTGAACCTTCAAGCTTTTGAATTGCTAGGGCTGCTATCAGAGATCTTACTGAAGGAAAATTCCATTCTGGCCCAGGAAATACTCAGAAATCTGTAAAGCCTAAGTTTGTCCAGCAATAAAAAGAATGGATAATTCATTCAGTCTCAAATGACAGACTATGGGAAGCACACAATAACCTGTACTTCCCCAGTGTTAGAATAATTGATTGACCACAGGCATGGCGATAAGTAATTCAGTAATTTTCATTTCTGTATGAAATAAATCATTTCAGTCTGTTCTCTATGAAGTAGATTGATGCTACATGCTCTCCTTAGTAAGTATGATTTTAATATTTGTTACTTGTCCCATTTGAGTTCCTTTAGAACCTTTTGGAGTAAATGGTTATAAGTATAGATGACTATATTCTTTGGATGTGACTTAGTCTACCTAATTCTGTCTGCAGTCTAACTCTTGATTTTTTAATGCCCCATACTTCTGTCAATATCCTTGACTTGTGTTAACAAACTGTCTAAACCATGTCATGAAGACTCTTCACCAACACGTGATAGGCTATTTTCCAATAACCTGTGGCTCTTTTAGTGAAATGAGCATTTTTTTTGTATTCTAAACACTATCACTGGTGATACATAGGCCACGGTCCCCTTAGAAGAAACCAGCTATGGGCAAAATACCTTCAGAAAAGGGTATATTCATTAATCAGTCATAGAGGTGATCCAGTGTTTTCCTCAAAAACTGAAGATGGATGCTTTTACTTCCCCCTTTCCCTTTTCCATAACCAAAATATAAGAACTCATTAAGTGAATTTTCCTATTATTTTTCTCACTTCTCCATTTAAATGTAGATACTGCCCCAAATTTAGCATGTTTGTTTTACACACTTTTGATTTCTTACACAGATGCCTCAAATTTGCTCCAAAACATAAAAGCTCTTTTATTTGTTTGAATAAGAATACTCCCAATAGGCTCAAATTTGAATACTTGGTTCTAAGTTGGTGGCATTGTTGCAGGAGGTTTACAAAGTGTGGTCTTACTGAAGGAAGTATGTCATTTGGGGGAGGGCTTGAAGAGCTCAGAGTTGCACCTTAGTTGCATGTTGATCTCTCTGCTCTGTTTTTGTGGGTCAGGATGTGACCTTGCAACTTCCTACTCTTGCTGTAGTACCTGTCACTTGCTTCCAGGCCTCTCTGCCATATGGAAGCTTATCCCTCTGGAGCCATAAGACAAAATAAAGTTTATCCCTCTGAACCCATTAGCCAAATTACACCCTTTTCCTTAAATTGCCTTGATCATGGTGTTTTATCATAGTAACAGAAAAGTAACTAAGTCAGCTTTAATAATCTCTTTTCCCTGTACTAACAAGGAAAAAAGAATACAAAGTTCGGAAACATACTGTATGATTACAGCCCAGGCTCGGGAACTCTTGAAAAAATTATCAGTAGACTCAAGAAAGGAAAAGGACAACAGCTTAGTATAAAAGGCTATAGTTGAAACACTGTCTCCAATGTATATCAAGTACATCCCAGGTACCACTGGTTGCATCCACTTGAAACAAAGAAGATTCAACAAGTGGAAACTATATAAAATTTTAGATGAATATTCACATTTATATGAATTACAATTTGTCCTACGTCATCTATATTATGGATCCTGAAACAATAGCAAGATTGTCCCAAAGAGTCATTCTCCTGATCAATATTAATGATAAAGTAATTAGAGTACCCAGGTAATGTGGAGGGCAGGGGGCTCAGGCACTATGAGGGTCTAGAGAGCTTCTTGATTATATTAGACTTCAGTTTTCAAGACAGTAATAGTAAACCAGTGCTTTGTAGCCTTGGTTATTCACTGAAATCAATGAGTTTTAATAGAAACCCAATGTCTGAGCCTTATACCCGAACACTCTGATTTAACTACTTTGAGGTAGAGCCTGGATAAAAGGGGTACATACAAGCTTGCTAGGTAATTTTACACTGAAATCGAAATTGTAAGTCAATGCTTCAGAAAAAATGCTTCTCAAGTTTGTTATGTATACAGAGTAAGGGAAGTATTCATAATCTAATGAAGACTCTATAGCACCAACATCTTTCATTTCTAAACATGATCACAGGAGAAGCTAATGCTTGTCCTTGGAAGTTCAGCCATCACCAGTACTCAGGTGGCAACACTATCCCTTACTGTCCCTAGGTGCCCATCTCCTTTCACATGTCCAGCTAGGTACAACTGGTTCCATGAAAATTGGCGCATATATGCTTTACTAGGTTAGTATTTTTTGAATTCCAGCAGCAATGACTAACTAGGGATGAGTCAAACCTAAGCA